AAGACAACAGAGAAGCAGAGTATTGTTTGGCTAAGGAGTGGGAAGACGCAAAATATTGATTGGGCAAAGGATACAGAGACGAAGAGTCTTGATGGACAAAGAGTGCAGAGACGCAGAGTATTGATTGGTGTATTTCTTTCAGATATTTCCATGAACGAAAAATACAACGACGAATGATGAAGAACAGTAGTATGAATAAGCCAGTTACGTTACTAATCAATAACGAAGACTACTGTGAATCTGCAAGGTTTGCGTTAATCGATCAACGAATCGATAACAGGAAAGTAATCGATTGTATCTTTCAGTTCATGCGAAGGAGCAATGGACTCATGGCGGCCTTCAGTATACAAGGTGTTTTTCTGCCTTTTCAGGTTAGTGCTTAATCAGGAAATACCGTACTCTCAACTCATTGGTGATCCTTATCGATTTCCTTACAGTTTCTCAGCGTTATTGATTAGTTCGGCGGCGTTGGTCTACTCACATGTTGAGGAGTGGGCATATATTGAAGCGCTCTACTTTTGTTTCATAAGGTAAGAACTGCTTGAGGAAAATTCCCTCCATTGCCTTCTACCGTAATCGAAAAGTACTGTAATGAAGCTGTTTACAGTTTTGCAACCATTGGTTTTGGTGATTACGTGTCGAATCAGAAAGACGTTACCAACATAAATGGCGACGTGTACAGGTGCGTGGCGCTTACAAAATACGGCCAGGAGATCCGAGTTGTAGCGGCACCCGTGAAATCGCTTGCGCAGTACCAGCACTATATTCTGGTATAAATCATCGGTTCAGGAAGTCACGTTGTATACAGTACCCCCAAAATCGCGCGTGAAATTAAATGTGTCGGGCCGTGAATGCACACAGCAATGCGTATTGCGGGACTGCGTCGCGTGTCCAGTCTCAGCGCGTGGGATACGGTATCATAGTCGCAGGAGAGAGCACCTGTCGGGGCCAGGCAGGTCGCCGGCCCTACCCTGGGCTTATAACGCAGGTCTTGAACGTACCCCGAACTTGGGAAACTAGGGTTACGGCTGTCGTTCACTGCGCGACATATTTAGTTTGACGCGTAATTTTTGGGGATACTGTATGAAAAATTCCTGAACTTGTAACTTTGTGGATCTTGAATAATCTTGTGAATCTGACTGACTCGGAACTTTTAGTAGGTTAATTTAGTTAGAAACGTCGGACGGTTTTCCGCGCGTCACGGCAGTTCGGACTCTGTCGGGTTGCGAGTGTCGGCTTCATCGATGATTAGATTTCAATTTAATTTATGCCTTTGCAGATTCTTAACTGTGGCCGTGCTCAACTAGGTTGCTGTTGTTTCTGTTCTATGTCTATTCAACGTGTCGTCGATCGTCGTACGGTATGTTGATAATTAATTTTGTAACTTCACGTCTATCTATCTCTAAGCCTTATTTTCAGGCAATTTTTGAACTTTATGATCAAGAAATGATTGAAGAGGAGGATTTGTTGTGTTTGAAAAAGAGGCCGACGAAATATATGGGATAGACTACGACGCGAAAGGTAGAATCATCTCCAGAGTTTCATTATTTTAAAATGTAGTTTGTGTGGGCGGAATGAAGGCTCCGAAAGGTAGGGATCAATACTTCAGTTTTGCTTATTCTATATACATGTGAGCTTTGTGTGGGCGGAAGAAAAGACAAAGGGGAAAACAGAGGTGGCATACTAGTTTTTGCCCTAATTGGTAACAATCTCCCAGCAATTTGGCAGTATCCAGCGAGAGATATTGAAATGGTTCTGAACTGACTCCCCCCACAATGAATCAGCTTTGGTAAGTTATAGTTCGCAGGCTGTGGAGAGGGCTAACAATCTGTTTTTTTCTTCTCTGCCTATTGTGTCGGGGACGAGGCAATGGTGTGATGTGGTAGGTGTTACGGTACAGGGTCAGATCTGAGATTTGTTTGACGCAGTTCAGGGTTCCATCACTGTGGGGTAGTAAAGTGGAGCCATCAGAGGACGAAAGTAGCTAGGAGGAATTCTAAGAAACAGCATTGGTTTGGTTCCTCCCCTATAGTACCAAAGATTGGTAATTCTACCATCCTCACCAATCCACTAGCTCGCGTCAAGGTGCATAGAATTAGTGACTTGTGTACATTGGCTGGTCCTAAACCATACTATTAGTCGATAGCTTGATTCAAAAACGGGTATGTGACAAGACGATCGTAAGGCTGCGTTCATACTTTGCGGCAGCGACCAGCAGCTTTCGAGCGTCCGTCACCGTCGGCGATACGAAAAAATGGATATCGATCTAACGTCTACTAGCACCACCAGCGTCTACCAGCGTCCTCCAGCGACCAGCAGCGTCTGGGAGTGGAGAGTTTGGGGCGGTAGGAGGGTACCAGACAGCTGGCAGAGTATGGAAAGATAGAAAGGTAGCGGACTGCTAGTAGAGAGTACGGGCGATAGAGGGTAGCAGACACTTATAGAGTATGAGAAATAACAGGACAGCAGAGGCCGGTAGGAAGTATGGGGCGATAGGAGGGTAGCAGGCAGCTGATATTCCCTTATCGCCCCATACTCTCCACTCCTAGACGCTGCTGGTCGCTGATGGGCGCTGGTTGACACCGGTGGACTCTGGTGGACGCTAAATCAATGTCTATACTTTTCTATTAGGGGACGTTGAAGGACATTCGAAACGCTGCTGGTCGCTAGTGGACGCAGCTAATCGCTGCGGCAAAGTATCAACGCAGCCTACTATGCCGCGGTGCTAGACATGGCGAACGACGCCGCACCCGACGGGTCCTGCCTGACCATTTCAATATGAGTGTTAAGGGACGGGAAAACCCTACGTCGTCCATCATGGACTCTTGTCCCCGTTCGATTCATGCTGTTCGGTGCACATATAGAACCTGCCGCGCATCGCCGCATAATTCGCCGGCGAGGACTTTTCTGTATCCTTCCAAAAACCACTACGATTCTGAGTGGAAGTGGAATGTGCGGCGCACCCCAAAAAGGATCAATTGGCGGAGAAACTGTCCAGTAGGGGAAGTTTCCCTCTTCCTCACCTTTACCTCTACGCCCCTCTACCCGCTGAAGAGTCTTAGCATGCAGCAATCTTCCTGCAGAATGACATATACTACAAAAGCAGTGTTGTGGTAGCCCATAATAGGTTGATCTGTGGCGCCGGCGAAAAATCGCCATAACATCGGAGGCTGAGTGACTGAGTATCCCTTGCCTCCCCCGCCCTACATTGTTAACCAACCTCAGATGAAGGTAAACCTGCGGGATGACATATCCTTCAAAGAGAGTATTAGGAGAATCCATTGTGTTCACTTAATGGATGAGACGAAGACACTTCTCGACATTAACGATTTTTTTGGGTGAGTTGGTTTTTGGGTCGCAAGAGAACTAACAAGGACGGGCCGACATCAGTTACGAGAAGGTGGAATGGCGACAGAACATGTCTTATACTTCCATTCTAGGCAGAGTGTTCTTCCTGGATCGCTTGTGAATAGAGGATAGAATGAGTAAAAATATCTTCGCTGGTAAATCTAGAGTGTTGGGTGTGCGCCACACATTCTACTCCATTCGAAATTGTAGCAGCACTTTTAACGGCAAATTTGGGCCTTAGAGACTGAGTTGCACCAGTTTGTCAGATGGATAGGTACTGTCTGGCTTGTTCTGCAGCTAATTCTAAGTACCAACTGCCCGACTGGCGGAGGGTAGAAATCTAATTGGCTCAAGCAGACGGAGCCCTCGACTCGAGATCCTGAACTTGTAGACCGTAAATCCTGGTATACACTGGCGGGAGGTGGGGGGGGGGGGATTAGGCCCGCTAGCGTAATGCGAATTCGGCGGCGTGGGGGGTCGTATCGTGACCTGCTGGTAAACAAGGTTCCAGCCACAGTGGCACCATTAACGAAACATGTGCTCTTCTTTTTGGCCCTCTCCCTGAAGACATCTTACCATTACGCTACCACAGAGATCCGAGTTACTCTCGCCGCCCCCGGCGCCCCGCCCCGGCGTTCCCCGTGGCTGTGATCGCGCAGTGAAAGAAGCTGGGGAAAAAAACAAGTGAAACGATTGAAAGCCTTTCAAAAAAGCCCTAGATCTACGCGACTCGGAAAGGAATTTCGGACGAGTTCCCTCCGAGTTGGCATCTTGCCGATAACCGCTAAGGTAGGTATTGGTACATGTATGTGCTTGCATATCCATGGAGCACCGCAGCCGCTTCATAGCTATCCCTTCGCCTCATATTTTACTTCACAAGAGAAGCGATATGAGCATAAGGATTAGCCGACAACAGTCTGGCAGGCGTGCGCGTGGCCGTTCGGTCGGTAAGTGTTGCAAGCGCAGTGATAAGGCGTGTTATATAGGTACCTTTTTCGTGAAAGGCCGGCCACGCCAACGCTTGCTCGAAAAGGACTCGGTCTTGCTAGAGCGGATCAATTGTTAGCACCGTCTTGGACAATTCAGTACTTATCAAACTTGCCTCGAGTATCTGAGTGTGTCTTCGATGAAGAAGTCATCTCGACCGGCAAAGTTCGCCGGTTTCTCAGCAGCTCGGGTATTCTCGCTCCACCGACCCATGAGTCACACGTTGGAACCACTAACTGATATGCGGTGTAGTGTAGTAGTTGAGGTGCTGGATCTGCTCTCATCTATTAACACCAACAGATTCAACTGTAAGATCGCACCCTTCCATTTGAAGCAGTACAATAAGACGTGTTTAGCTGCAGATGCAATCAACGACAGCGTTACTCTGGGCAACGGCGACGATTCGCCTCGGGAGAGCCTCATTTTGGCGACTTTTCTGGGAATAGTCTCAATTCGTAGCGACTTTTATGAGAAAACTGGCAGATTGTACCTACGAAACGTAAGCTTCAAAAATATGATAGTGTGACAAAAGCTCGATTATTTTTGTCAGATCTCTGGCCTAGCGTGATCTCTGTTGAAGTAGGTTCAAGTAGGAGTTCAAAGTTCCTCTCTCGAGAGGAAACCAGATGTGCAAGGTAAAGCTCAAAAGGGGAGCTGAGAGTGGATTCAAAGTTTTGCCCCGTGTTATATTTGGAAGCCGTTTTTGAAGGTTGGCACGATAATTTGATACTCAGCCAAAAAATGTGCCCGGGCGCTATCGCATGGGAAAAGGCGAGAAAGACGAAGTGCAAATGGTGCGAAAAGTAGAAAATGCGCCTTCGTTCTTAGAAAAACAACTTCGGGACCAGTTTCCCGTAGGCATATTGCAAATAGCCCGCTCCGGTAGGTACGACTGGCCAATATAGTACTCATATATCGAATTCCAGACATTGCAGCCAACTTCATACCGCTCCTTCGCTTGCATATTCTTAAATAGCAAATGAAGCGAAAACCGAGCATATGGTAAAGTCTCCATTTGTGGTGGCTGCGTGGGTGGCGTTTGGTCGGTATCCGTTGTAGCTTGATAGGACCCTTATAAGGGTACCTCCCTAGGAAAAACCGCTACGCAGCGCCTGCTCAGGGTCGCGGAAATCCGCCCTGCCAGGCGTATCAATCCTACTCGTTTCTAGAGATTTATCGTGCCAACTGCCTTCAACGTTCGTGGCTGGTTCACATTCCTGGACAAGCTGGACCCATAGATGACTTGAGCCACGCAGACATTACGAGAGGTTAATACTTTCCGAGTACGAGCAGTTATCTAGAGGGTAAAGGTTGCACAATGACGGTATAGAACAACTTACCATAGGTCAGTTGCTCTTTAAAGGCAGTTGGCACGATAAATCCCTAAGACGAGTAGGATTAATACGCCTGGCAGACGGAATTCCGCGCCCCTGAGCAGGCGCTGCGTAGCGCTTTCTCCAAGGAAGGTACCCTTATAAGGCCCTATCGAGCTACAATACAGACTTGAACGCCAACGCGTTTGCCCGCCCACAAATCGACGACCGTAGCGCCCACAAATCGACGACCGTATTCCCTCATTCGCTAAGTGAAACATGATGCGAAGAGATGGTTATGAAGCGGGCTGCGGTGCTGCATGGATATATGAACACATACGTGCAGCCGTATATTCCTTACCTCTGGAACGGAGTGGGCGTGGCTTTTAGACATGGCGTAGGATAATTTACTCAGGGGGATTTTCCAAAAGATGTGCTGGACACAGACGTGACCAAAATTGTCTCGAGAAAATATCTCACCGAAAGCTCAGTCACCGCCACGTTTACCGCATCTCAGGGATTTCGAGTATGCCTACCATAGCGATTATTTTTAGATGCCTACGAGAAACTCGTCCGAAATTGCTTTCTGATTCATTAAGAACGAAGGCTTTTCTCCGCAGATTTTTGACAGCTTCGCTATGTTTTTCGCCACTTTCCCACTATATAGGGCCCTGCTAGCATTCTAGGCCAACTAACAAATTATTGCGCCAACTGCCAGAAAGGAGATAGCGTGTCACATGATACGTTTATACGACGGGGAGTCTATGTTCCTCTATTGTTAGTGACGTCCTCTAACGTGTTATGTGACGTCATTGACACGTCATTTGCCTCACAAGAGCTCTCTACAGTTGTTTGATG